GGGATCTCTCTGTCCTTTCTGTTCAATGTTTCTATAAATCGAAAATTGCTCTAAAATCGAAATCTATTAATTTTTTTTCCTGGACAAAAGACTTAAACAGATGCTTCACAAAAGGATGCACAAGTAACCACTAATTAGCAAGACAAGATGATCAACTTTGTTAGTAATTAGGAAAATGTAAAATAAGTACATGATGAAATAAAGAAGTGTGATTCCAACACTTTCTTTTTTCAAATTGTTTTTACTATTATGGGTTCTCAAATTTCTATATGAATTTTAGGATCAGCTTGTGTGCTAAAATTTTTTAAAAAGCTATGGATTTTGGTATGGAAAATACTGAAGATCACTGTAATCTTTTTTTTTTTTTTTTTTAATGATGCTGAGGATAGAACCCAGGGTGTTGTACATGTGAGGCAAACACTACGAACTGAGCTACATCCCCAGCCAGAGGATATCTTTACCTTTATTTCAGCCTCCATTGATAGCAAACAACATTTTGTAGTTTCTGCAAGTTTTGCAGCACTTTTGTTAAATGGATTTCTAAGTTTTTTGTTGTTGTTGCTGTTGTTTTTTGGGGGGCATCAGGGATTGAACTCAGGGACTCTTGACCGCTGAGCCACATCCCCAGCCCTCTTTTGTATTTTATTTAGAGACAAGGTCTCACTGAGTTGCTTAGCACCTCACTTTTGCTGAGGCTGGCTTTGAACTCGCAATCCTCCTGTCTCAGCCTCCTGAGCTACTGGAATTACAGGTGTGTACCACTGCACCCAGCTGGATTCCTAGGTAGTTTGTTCCTTTTTTTTTTTTTTTTTTGTGGTGCTGGGGATTGAACCCATGGCCTTGCACATTCAAGGTAAGCACTTTACCAACTGAGCTACATGCCCAGCCCATATTTTATTCTTTTTGACACTATCATAAATAGAACTGTTTCCTTTATTTCAATGAATTTCTAACTCATTGCTAGTATATAGCAATTGATTTTTGTATATCGATTTTATACCCTGCAACTCTGCTGAACTTATTAGTTGTAATCATTTTCTCAGGGATTTCTTAAGACTACCTATATAGACAATCATGTCATCTGGATCACAGAGATACTTTCATTCCTTCCTTTCCAAACTAGCTGCATTTTATTTCATTGCTTAACTGTGTAACTGCTCCAGCTTAGAACCTCCAGTAAAATGTTAATTAGAAGTGATGAGTATAGATATCCTTATTTCATTTCTGAACTTACAGGGAAAGCACTCAGTCTTTTACCATTAAGTATAGTGTTTGCTATAGGGTCTCCACAGATCAGGTAGAAGTAGTCACCCTTTTTTTTTTTTTTGGTACGAGGGATTGGACTCAGGGGCACTTGACACTGAGCCACACTCCCAGCCCTATTTCGTATTTTATTTAGAGACAAGATCTCACTGAGTTGCTTAGCACTTCACTTTTGCTGAGACTGGCTTTGAACTCTCAATCAGGTCCTCTTATCTCAGCTCTGGAGCTGCTGGGATTACAGGCGTGTGCCACCATGCCCAGCCGGCCCTAATAAATCACCCTTTATTCCTACTTTGTAGGGTTTTCTACATCTACTGACATGCTCATGTATTTTCTGTCCCTTATTCTATTAATTTGGTATATTACATTAGTCAATTTTCAAATGCTAAATCAACCTTGCATTCCTATAATAACTTCTACTTGGTCATATATAATTGTTTTATTTGTTGCTAGATTTGACTTGCTAAAATTTTGTTGAGGATTTTTGCATCTATATTCATAAGGGATATTGGTCTGCAATTTTGTGATGTCTTTGATTTTGGTGTCAGGGTAATACTGGCCTAATGAGCTGAAAAGTGTTCCATTCTCTTCTATTTTTGGAAAAATTGGTCAAAATTCTTCTTTAAGCTTTTGGTAGATTTCACCAACGAAGCTATCTAGACCTGGGATTTTCCAGGTGAGAATCTGTTACTTACTAATTCAAACATTTTACTTGCTAAGATTTATTCAGATTGTTTATTTATTTTTGAGTAGTTTGTATATTTCTAGGAAAATTTCCATTTTTTAATAGTGACCTAACTTGTTCATAGTGTTGCCCATTAAGGCATTTTGTGAAACCAGAATTATTAATGTCCCCTTTTTCATTCATGGTTTTATTTATTTTGGTTTGCTTTCTTTTTTGTCTGTGTAGCTAGTCTTTTCAAAGAACCAACTTCTGGTTTTAATGATTTTTTTTTCATTTTTTTGTTAAATATTTTATTAATTTCCATTCTAAATCTTAATTTTTTATTTTCTTGCTTTGGGTTTAGTTTGCTTATCTTTTCATAGAAAGTTAGGTGGAGTTAATTTTTTTTTCTTTTTAAATATATTCTTAAATGGGTGTGGTGGTATACTCCTATAATCCCAGTGACTTGGGAGGCTGAGGCAGGAGGATTGAAAGTTTAACACCAGCCTTAGCAACTAACTTGGCTAGACCCTGCTTTAAAATAAAAAATAAAAAGGGGTGGGGCCATAGCTCAGTGGTAGTGACCCTGGATTCAATTCCCAATACTGCCAAGGAAAAAAAAAAGAAAAAATTCTTAATATAGCCTTGTTATAAAGTTATAAAAACTGCTTTGCCTGCATCCCATAGTTTTGATATATTGTATCATCGTTTTCATTCATTTCAAAGTAGCTCCTAATTTTGACCCACTGGTTATTTTGAAGCGTATTAATCTCTCTCTCTCTCTTTTTAACTTCCAAACTTTTCTTCTGTTATTTTCTTGTAATTCCATTCCATCACGGTTAGAGAACAGACCTTGTATGATGTTATCCTTTCAAATTTAGGAAGGCTTATATTATGGCCTCACATATGGTCTAACCTAAAGAAGGTTCCATGCACACCTGAAAAGAAATATGTTCTGTTGTTGAATGGAATTTTCTATAACTATCTATTAGACATAGTTAGTTCTTATTGTTTTTTTTAAGTTTTCTATTTACTTTTTGATCTTTTGTCTAACTGTTTTAACCATTATTGAAAGTAGGATATTGGGGGCTGGGGTTATATAGCTCAGTTGCCTAGCATGTGTGAGGCACTGGGTTCGATCCTTACCACTGCATAAAAACAAAATAAAGATATCGTGTCCATCTGCTGTAAAAACTATTTTTTTAAAAAGAAAGACAATAGGATATTGTAGTCTTCAACTATTCCTGTTCAATTGTCTTATTTTCCTTTTTAATTCTGTCAATTTTGCTTCATGTATTCGGGGCTCTGTTATTGGATGCATATACAATTATAAAATTGTTTTTTAATCCTGATGGATTAACTTTCTTATCATTATAAAATTCTCTTTTGTCTCTAGTAATTTTCATTTTTTGTTTTAAAGGCTATTCTATCTGATACCAGGATAACCACTGCATTTTTTTTTTTTTTTTGTACCAGTAGTGCCTTACCACTGAGCTATACCCCAGGGTCTTTTTTATTTTATTTTGAGACAGGGCCTCACTAAGTTACTAAGGCTGGCCTCGAACTTGCAATCCTTCTATCTCAGCCTCCCACATAGCTGGAATTACAAGTGTATGTCACTATATCGGCTCACTCCATGATATGGCTTTTCTACCCAATTACTTTTGTTTTTGAAATCTAAAGTATATCCCCAGTAGACAGTATTTAGCTGGATTTGGAGATGGGGTACAGGGGAACAGGGGACTGAACTCAGGGACCTTGAGCCCACTAGCTTTACCCCCAACCCTAGATCTTATTTTTTTACTCAGTCAAATTTGCAATGAGGTCCGTACTTACCCACAAGAATGCTAAAATAAAAAAGTCCAATAGCATTTATGAAGGTCAATCAAATAAAAAGTCCTCCCATCACGATAGTGGGTGAACACTTTGGAAATGTGTTTTGACATTATCCACAATCATTGAAGATATATATACACATTCATGCCCTAAATATTCCATTTCTACATATAGACACAATGCTTACATGTACACTGATATATTCATTTTTTTTTTGAGAGAGAGAAGTTTTTAATATTTACTTTTTAGTTTTCGGCGGACACAACATCTTTGTTTGTATGTGGTGCTGAGGATCGAACCCGCGCCGCACGCATGCCAGGGGAGCGCACTACTGCGTGAGCCACATCCCCAGCCCCTGATATATTCATTATAGCCCAAACTTGAAAATAATCCAAATGTATATGAACAGAATAGATTTTTTTAAAACTATAGTAAAACCATACACTGAACAGTAAGTAATATTGAAAATATTAGCAAACTATTTTACACACAACACAGGCATATTTCACTAATATGTTGTACACACCATACAATTCAATTTATATAGTTCAAAAATATTCAGGCAAGGGGCCGGGGTTGTGGCTCAGTGGTAGAGCACTTGCTTAGAATGTGTGAGGCACTGGGTTCGATTCTCAGCACCACATAGAAATAAAATAAAGGTCCATTAACAACTAAAAAAAAATTTTTTTTTTAATTTTCGGGCAAACTGGGCACAGTGATGCACACTAGGAGACTAAGGCAGGAGGACTGTAAGTTCGAGGCCAGCTGCAGCAACTTAGTGAGGACCTATGTCAAATAAAAAATAAAAAGGGTGAGGCATACGGCTCACTGGTAAAATGTCCCTGGGTTCGATGCCTAGTACCAAAAACCAAAAAGCAAAAATATTCAGGCAAAATTAAAGTATGGTACTGAGGAATACACACATAAACGATAAAAATGTAAAAATTTCATATACAATATGAAATTACACAGTGGTACAGTTCTTGATCCAGGTGGTGCCACACAGTCGTTGCTCTACTAAATATCACCCTGTGTAAACCTGTGCTTCGTCCACCTTTCTACATGTGTACACAACAAAAAGGTTTTAAAAACCAAATCAAGTAAATATGACTTATCTTCCATTCCAATAGTGGTGGGGCTTCATATTCCCTCAAATAATTGAATTACTAGTTTTATTTCTTGGATTTTCCCTTCCCTGGTCTTTCTCACATTTCTACACACAAAACCTTTTCCCTACCTCTGTCAGGTTCTGTAAAATCCAGGCCAATCGCAAAGAAGCCTGCTGGGTGGTGAAGGTGAACCGACTGGCTGCTAGGAGTCGCTTACTTCTAGTGAAGAAGTGCAGCACTCGGCAGGAACTGTGCAGGAACTATTGAAAAGAAAGGAGTTTAAGAAAACCCACTGAAGGTATTTGATGTTTCCTTATCAATTTATACATATGCTAACAAACCCAATAACAAACAAGTCATTGAACTACTTAGGAAGTTGTTCTCAGCACTTAAGAAAATCTAGAACAGAGCTTGGCTTGGTGGCTCAGGCCTTTAATCCCAGCCACATGGGAGGCTGAGACAGGAGGATTACTTGAGCCCAGGAGTTTGAGGTCAGCGTGGGCAACATAGTGAGACACCATCTTTTTTTTTTTTAATATTTACTTTTTAGTTGTAGTTGGACAAAATACCTTTATTTTATTTATTTATTTTTATGTAGTGCTGAGGATTGAACCCAGGGGCCTCGCACGAGCAAGGTGAGCGCTCTACTGCTGAGCCACAACTCCAGCCCATGAGACCCCATCTTTAATAACTAAATAGCTAAATAAATCAATAAATAAGAAAAACCCACATAAGGGGCTGGGGTTGTGGCTCAGCGGTAAAGTGCTTGCCTAGCATGTTTGAGGCCCTGGGTTCGAACTTCAGCACCACATAAAAAAATAAAATAAAATAAATATATTGTGTCCAACTATAACTAACAAAAAAACCCACAACATACAAAAGCCTACAACTCTTTTTACCTTTCTATTTAGTTTTAGTATGGAAGTGAAGGAATAGAGTCTAGGGAAGAGGCTGTATTGGTAGAGTTCTTATTTCATTAGGCTTAGGTAAACTTAAATTTTGTTTGAGGTCTATCTGTTTAGTTAATTCACTGCTATTCAAATTGTAACACAATCTACATAAAACTCTTGACCAATCTTTGATTTTGAAGGCTCTTTTTCCATATATTTTTACAATATCCATTATCTTGTATTTCAGCTTCAGGTTGCCTCTATAAATCAAAACCCTAAGAAACCCGAATCTCATTAGTAAGAATGAACTCCTAGTAGCTCTTCCTCTTTTTTTATTAGAAATCAAGTTATTACTAACTCAGAAGGAAATTTCCCTATATACTTTTTTTAACATCAATTTCTGTGTCAATTTTATTGAGGTACAATTAACATACAGTAAGATTTGCCAATTTTTTTTTTAATGTGTGTGTATGTGGTGCTGGGGATTGAAACCAGGGCCTTGTGCTTGCAAGGCAAGCACTCTACCAACTGAGCTATATCCCCAGCCCCAAATTTCCCTATATTTTAAATAATTAATACTTAGATGTTTATGATTTGATTTAATACTATCTATTCTTACCTAATGATCTAAGAACTTATTAAAAGCTTAAAAAGTATTTAAAGTACTTAAAGTGACGGCCTATATTCCTTTTGCTATATTTTAAGAAATGATTCAAACTTAAGTTCTTCATTCATAAGCATCCTGAATGGAATCCAGGGCATCACTCATGCTAGGCTCCACCACTGAGCTACACCCCCAGTTCTTTTTAAAATTTTTTTATTCTGAGACAAGGTTGTGAAAGTTGCCCAGGCTGGCCTTGAACTTACCATCTCAGCCTCCAAAGTAGCTGGGATTACAGGAGTGCACCCCAGCCTGGCCACAATGTACCTTATTATTAAAAATTGGATTTAGGATACTTTGAGGATCTTCTGTTAAAAATGCTGACTCATTGGGGGTGTGGATACAAAGTATTAAGAGCTCCAGCACCTGTACTTTGAGTCAACACCTGAACAATGAACAACTTCATTTACATCTAACAAGTAATTGTTGGGAGCCCTCTATTCTGGACTGTGTTAGGCCTTGAAAAAAAAAAAAAAATGAGACAGCCAGAATCTCTGCCCTGTGAAAACTGCTATTCTTGTGAGAAGAGAGACAAGTAAGTATTCAAACCAACAAGTTAGATAACCTAAGAAGACAGAATGTAAAATGAATAATTATTTAATGTGCCACAAAGATATGTATCCCAATTTCAAATGTGTTAAAATATGAAAACAATGGCCAGGCGCAGTGGCATATACCAGTGGCATAAACCTGTAATACCAGTGACTCAGGAGACTAAGGCAGGAGGATCACAAGTCCATGATCAGCCTCAGCAATTTAGCAAGGTCCTAAGCAACTTAGCAAGATTCTTTCTCAAAATAAAAAAATAAGGGCTGGGGATGTGGCTCAATTGGTAGCGTGCCCGCCTGGCATGCGTGCGGCCTGGGTTCGATCCTCAGCACCACGTACAAACAAAGATGTTATGTCCGCCGAGAACTAAAAAATAAATATTAAAAAATTCTCTCTCTCTCTCTCTCTCCCACTCTCTCTTAAAAAAATAAAAATAAAAAAAAATATTATCATCATCTGTGGTGCTAGTGATCGAAACCAGGACACCATTCGTTCCAGGCAGGTGCTCTGCTACTGAGCTACACTGCCAGCCCCGAAGTTATTATTTTGGGGCTGGGGATGTGGCTCAAGCGGTGGCGCGCTCGCCTGGCATGCGTGCGGCCCGGGTTCGATCCTCAGCACCACATACAAACAGGGATGGTGTGTCCGCTGAGAACTAAAAAATATTGAAAATTCTCTCTTTCTCTCACTCTCTCTTTAAAAAAAAAAATAAATAAATAAAAATAAAAAGGGCTGGGAATATAGTTTAGTGGTAAAGCATCCCTGGGTTCGATTCCCAGTACCAGAAAAAAAAAATGTGTCTTAAAACTCATGAATTACTGGTGGTAATATAAATAATAAAATCATTCTTGGAAACAGGTTTGGCAGTTTCTTAAAAAATAAAACACACAAGTACCAGATAACTCACCAGTAGTGCTTTGGGATGTGGTTTTATTTACATGAAGTTCTATACAAAGAATGCTCATAACAGCTTTATTTACAATAGGTAAAAACTGGAGTTAGCACAGATGTCCTTCAACAGGTGAGTGGTTAGATAAACTGTGGCACATCTGTACCACTGAATACATTCCAGCAATGAAAAAAAAGAGTTGCTAATACACCAACTTGTACGGATCTCCAGGGAACAATACTAAGTGGAAAAAGGCAATCCCAAAGGTAATATCAGAAAAAAAGTATGATCCCATGTATAGAACATTTTTAAATAAAAACATTTTTTAAATAGAGGACTGATTAGTGGTTGCCAAGAGATAACGATGGGAGAGAGTGTGGAGTATGGAGAGAAGAGGTAGATCACAGTTAATTAAAAGGCAACATAAGAGATCATTGTAGGGGCTGGGGTTGTAGCTCAGTGGTGGAGCACTTGCCTAGTACGGGTGAGGCACTGGGTTCAATCCTCAGCACCACATAAAAAATAAATAAATAAAGGTTAAATTATTTTTTAAAGAGAGAGAGAGAGATCATTATAGCCATGCACAGTGGTGCATGTCTATAGTCCCATCACTGGAGGCTGAGTCCCTAAGCAACTCAAAGAGACCCTGTCTCAAAATAAAAAAATAAAAACATGCTGGGGATGTGGCCCAGTGGTTAAATGCCCTGGGTTCAATCCCTAGTACCTTGAGGGGGAAAAAAAAAGAGAGATCATTGTAGTGATGGATATGTTCAGTATCTTTTTGTGAGTGTGTGTACCAGGAATTGAAAGCAGGTACAATTTATCACTGAGCCACATCCCAGGCCTTTTTATTTTTCTAGTTTGTGACAGGTCTTGCTAAGTTGCTGTGGCTGGTGTTAAACTTATAGTCTTCCTGCCTCAGTCTTTTGAGTCATTGGAATTATAGGCCAGGCCCAGGCTGTTCAGTATTTTAATACAGCAGCAGATACCTGGAACCTGCACAGATGGAAAACTATATAGAATGTAACATAGGCACACAAATGAGTACAAGTAAAACTGGAGAAATCTAAATAAGATCTATGGATGATATTCATGTTAATATCCAGACTGTGACGTACTATAGTTTAGAAAAATGTTATCATTAGGAGAAACTACACAGTATATAAGGGACTTCTGCAATTTTTCTTATAACAACATCTGAATCTATGATTACGTTAATTAAAATTTCAATTTAAAAGACGCATGTCACAGGGCTGGGGTTGTGGCTCAGCAGTACAGCGCTCACCTAGCACATGGGAGGCCCTGGGTTTGATCCTCAGCTCCAAATATAAACAAATAAAATAAAGGTATTGTGTCCAATTACAACTTAAAAAATATTTTAAAAATAACACGTCACCACAAGGAACTGATAAATGTTGGAGGAGACATTCTGAAATTTAATAAGTTTGGTGCAAGAAACAAAGGGAAATGTGAAAGACTAGGGTAGAGAGGGCTCTTCACAAGGGCAGGGAAGGGTTCCCAGAGGGGCTGACACATGGGTGGGTCCCTAATCACGAGAAGGATCCAGTCATCCAATCATGATGGGAGAACTCAAGGTGAGAAAGGACTGGAGAACTACATGAACAGTATGCACCTGTAATCCTAGAGGCTTGGGAGGCTGAGGTAGGAGGATCACAAGTTCAAAGCCAGCCTCAGCAACTTGGCAAAGCCCTAAGCTACTCAGTGAGACCCTGTCTCTAAATAAAATACAAAAAAAGGCTGGGTATATGGCTCAGTAGTTGAGTGCTCCTGGGTTCAATCCTCAGTACAAAAAAAAAAAAAAAGAGCTACAAGAACAAAAGCAGACGGGCAAAGATGGACAAAGGGGTCTGCAAAGTGGATAGGGCCAAACTGTGTTGAGGAGTTGGGATTTTATGCTAGGGCAGAGAAGACGCAGTGATCACTAAGAACAATGAGAGAAGGCCTGGGTGGCTGAGCAGGCTGGAGGAAGACATGGCTGAGGAGATGACTCCATGTCTCAATTACTTCCTATTCCTTGGGCTAGCGATGGCCAAACTAACGACCATGGTGCCAGCTCTGACAAATGCAGTAGAAACAGCTCCCACAGCCTGAATCCCAAAACCATGAGCCCTAGGAAGAGTGACAGCAGGGAGGGGTTCCTCCACAGCTAGGACACGCCTGCAACAGGGCAGGCTCAACTGTGCCAGTATGCTCTTTGGTGCATTTTCCACTAAGAAGAACCAAAACTTTCATCAAGCACATGTTCAGTTTCAGGTAGATTCAGCGCTTTTAATGCTCAGTGTTACGCATGAGGTCTTAGTTTTACATCAAAATTTGACATCTGGAGTTCATACTGTAGAAGTAAAATGTTTTTGTGGTCACAACTAATTTTCAAAGGAATAAAAGTTTCAAATATCTCTCTTAACTTAAGGAATATTTGGTGGACTATTCAACTTTTTTTTTTTAATATTTATTTTTTAGGTGTAGATGGACACAACACAATGCCTTTATTTTTATGTGGTGCTGAGGATCGAACCCGGGTCCCGCCTGTGCTAGGAAAGCACTCTAACGATTCCAGACCCTTAGTGGACTATTAAAAACTACTGGTTCAGGGGCTGGGGTTGTGGCTCAGTGGCAGAGCACTCACCTAGCACGTGGGAGGCCCTGGGTTCAATCCTCAGCACCACATAAAAATAAATAAATAAAATAAAGATATTGTGTCCAACTAAAAAATAAATATTAAAAAAACTAATGGTTCATCAATCCCCAGTATCCAAAAAAAATTATACATTAAGCCATAAAATTACAAAGTAAAATTTATGTATTTACTTATTTAATTTTTTGCAGTGCCAGAATGGAACTCAGGGCTTTACAAAATATTAGGGAAGACACTCTACAACTAAGCTGCATCCTCAGCCCTAAATGATTTTATTTTAAATTATACATTTCAGGATTCAAGATATTTCCTTAAAACCACTTTCAACTCCTTTAACTACCATTTCTTTCCTATACACAGAAACTCTCAATATTCAGTCTCACAAATTATTATGACAAGATGCATTTAAATATATGTAAAATATATATACACACATATATACACACAATATATGCACTGTCTGGTGCCAGCATAGTAGCTGAGAAGGCATTTGATCATGAGGCATTAGAAATTGATTATTTTATCAATATGGAATATTAATTGGAACATCAAACACCGAAGGTTGGACCACGTTTGAGGAGGTGGAAAACACCTGACCCTTTGACTCAGTAATCTCACAGTGAGGAGGGAGGGAGATTTCAGAGAAATAACACAATTACAGCTAGTGTTGATGCTGTTGCTGCTGCCACCACTAGCGACAGCACTGTCACTGACTGATGGCCTAGTACTTCCAGGCATAAAGTGAAGAGTTTGTGGCAGGCTGCCAGCTATTATCTCAGTATCCATTCTTCACTTTATTACAACAATGATGAAATTTGGATATTTCATTCTATCTAGTCTGTGTCTTTTCCATTTCTCAAGGATAGAAACACAAATTCCCACTAACAGGTAAAAGTGTGGTCCCCCCAACCTCCTCAAGACTTCCCAAGGTGCAACTATTAAGTACTTAAGTCTACCATATATAATTTTGGGTGACTATTATTAAACTTTACTGGTTTGGGGAATTGTTTGTGTACTCTTAATATCCTAAAGCAACAAACGAAGGAAGTTATGTAATTAAACTTACTACAGTTAAGAGGTAGTTATAGGAAAAAACAATAACATCCAAATCACATAAGATCTAAGGAAAAGATTACCTTCATTATAAGAGAATTATTCCAGGATTTTACAAGTTCAATTGCTCTTAGGTCTTGCCAACTAATAAAGTTGTGAAAATGATTTCCTGTTTTCCTAAAAAAGAAGGAAACAAAGTTTTGAGACTCTGTAAACATCAGAGACTATACTAAAGATCTGCCATGAGAGAAAACAAAATTAGAAGCTAAAATATAATTTCAAAGCATGATTTAATTAGATGGGGCTTTCTGAACAGCTTCTCTTTGATTTTTTAAACTAAACACACTGCATCACAGTTGTGAAATTTTAGATCAGATTCCATCCCCAAAGATAATCTTTTTGAAATACTACAATGTGTGCACACCCCAAAACAACAAACGAAAAGGCCTTTGAAAACTTGTTCCACATATTTCTCTCTTTCTCTCTAAGGATTGAACCTAGGACCTTGCACATGAACACTGTACCACTAAGCTACATCCAAAGCCCTTTTTTTAAATTTTTTTTTTTTTAGTTGTTAATGGATCTTTATCATTTATTTATATGTGGTGCTGAGACTCGAACCCAGTGATTCACACATGCTAGGCAAGTGCTCTACCACTGAGCCACACAACTCCAGCCCCTCACCCCCAGCCCTTTTTATTTTTTGAGACAGGATCTCACTAAGTTGCACAGGTTGGTCTTGAACTTGCAACCCTCCTGCTTCAGCCTCCTGAATAGCTGGGATAAGAAGCTTGTGCTGCCATGCCCAACGGCTTCTTTAAAAGCAAGATACAAAGCCAATGCCTTTTCCCTTCCTTGTACTTACCCTGATACATATAATCAGATAAAAACTTCTGACCTCAGAGGATCTAAAATATCACCTGAGCCTATTTCTTTACCTTTCAATTGTAGGATTTGGCCTAGCCTTCAGGAACCTAATACGCTTACCAAAATTTCACCAATAAATAGAAATTCAAACCGGGCATGGTGCCATGCTCCTTAATACCAGTTTCTTGGGAGACTGAATCAGAAGGAATGCAAGTTAGAAGACAGCCTGGGCGACACAGTGAGATCCTATTTGCAAACAGAAAAGGCAGGGGACGTAGCTCAGTAGTAAGGTACTTGCCTAGCATGTGTGAGGCCTTGGGTTAGCTCCCAGCCCTGCAAAAAAAATTTAAACATTAAGAAAATAAAAACCCCTGGGCCAGGGTTGTGGCTCAGTGGTAGAGTGCGTACCAAGCATGCATGAGGCACTGGGTTCGATCCCAGCACCAAATAAAAATAAACAAAATAAAGGTATTGTGTCCATCTACAACTAAAAAAATATATTTAAAAAAGAAAAGAAAAACCCCAGAAATTCAGCAAATCCTGGGTCAATACCACAATAAGAGTACAGCACTAAAAAAATATAGAAGAATCTGGGCATAATGACACACACCTATAACACCAGGTACTGGGGAGGCTGAGGCATAAGGGAAAGATTCCAAGTTTAAGGCCAGCCTGGACAACTTAATGAGATGCTGTCTCAAAATAAAAAAATAAAAAGGGCTGGGGATATAGCTCAGTGATGGTGTACCCCTAGGTTTAATCCCCAATAGTGGAAAATAAAGAAAGAAGTAGTGAAAAACTCCTTTCTCCTATTAAGGGTCCTACAAATCAGCCACTGGTTCCCACAAACCTGTGCGCCAGCAGTGACTGCACATGCTCTACCACTGAGCCACACCCCCAGCACAGCATCTACTAACCTTCAACATTAAACTCGGGCTGGCTTGCTACCCTCTTCAGGTCCCCTCCTGTGTCACTTTCCAAGGCTGCCATTCCCCACTCTACTTAAGCAGTCCACATTTATGGTCATATCCTCAATGATTTCAGCCAATATTTATAAGGCAATCTTTGTTTCTGGGGACAGAGCTGTGAACAGAGACAATGCATCTTTGCCCTGATGAACATACTTTTTACCAGGAAATTCAAACAAAGAATCACTCAATTGCTTACATAGGACAAGAATAAATGTCATGGAGTAGAAGTTCAAGGTGCCATAAATATATTTAACAGAGAGACCATTCCTGGACTGGGGGTCAAGAAAGGCTTCTTTGAAAAGTGACTGTGGAACTGAGCTCAGAAGGTTGCTTAGGAATTAACTAAGAAGGTGAACATTTTTTTTTCCCTGCCTTGGTACTGGGGATTGAATCCAGGGGCATTTAACCACTGAGCCACATCCCCAGTCCTTTTTATTATTTTTTTTATTTTGAGATAGGATCTCACTAAGTTGCTTAGGGCCTTACTGAGTTGCTGACACTGGCTTTGAACTTGTGATCCTCCTGCCTCAGCCTCCCAAGTTGCTGCAATTATAGGCATGCCCAACAGGAAGGTGAATATTCTTGAAAAAAAGTGCTGTTATTTTTTCAGTCATCATGAAGCAGTGTTAGGGACTGGCAGGCTAGTGTGCTGAAGAGCAAAGTGGGGGAAATCAAATCGTGGAAGCGATATTGCCAATTCAGATCACAGTACAAGACAATCTAGAAAACTGACCTCAAGGGGTAGCACATATTCCAACATTCACATAGCACTGACTTGGCTTAATTCTATTTCTACCAACAATAAAAGGAGAAAAAAAGAAGAGCATAAATGGTAATGTTATAATGAAACTGTCTTAAGCCCTTCCAACACGTTATACCATTCTGTGGCTCTTATATATTTTGTGTCATAAATAAGTGGCAAGAGCCATTAACATAAATATTAAATGCTACAATGAAAGACATATTTCATGTGGCAAGATCATGGAATAAAACTTGAGTAAGGAGACTTACTTGGGGGCTGGCACTCCTACTCAGCTTTGTATTCAGTTCAGCAGCACCACAGCGAGTCACTCCCTGGGAACCTCCCAACAGTTACGGAGGGTCCCCGCTCACTGGCACGACTCACGCAGTTTATGTTACTGATTGGCACACACCCTGATCTGAGGTTAGTTGGCAGAAGTCTCCCTGAGAGACACAGCGACGCAAGAAACAAATAGCTAGTGATTTTGTAAAACAAAAGAAATTTTTAAAAAATCAAAACAGAGGTCATATATTTGGAGTTATTTTAGAAAGTCAGCTAAACACACCACTGATTATATTGAAGGAAAAAAAAAAAGAAGTTAAATCCAAAGAATATGAAGAAAACTCAAGGACTGAAAAAAAAAAAATTAACAACATTGAGTTTCCCGGTCTCTTACAGGGGGAAAAAACAAGGAGAAAAATAGTAAGAAAGTTCTAAGTTTTATACTTCCTGATAGCAAGCATATGGAAAACAGTGTTTGTATGGCCATGAGGACAGGGATATATCCTGCTCATAGGAAAAAGGCAAACAACGAGGGGGGAGGAGGGGCACTGGCTGGACTGGAGCAAACAATAGATTGTTCCAGAGGGTCTGGTCTGTCTCCCTTCCCACAGAGGAACAAGGCGTACTTCAAGCTTCTGGAACCTGCCAGCATCATGCACCACAGCAGCTCACTCAGGCCCAATGAGCAGAATAAGCCTCCATTATTTTAGGGTAAAGAAGAAAGGGGCCTTGCATCTATCTTAAAAAAAATCTGCATTACAGTTTTCTACAAGCAAAGAGTGTTTCTAAAACTCACAGAAGAATACAAATATTTCAAAAAAGAAAAAAAAAAAAGCCAAGAAAAGAAACTCACATAATTGATCTAGGAAGAAAACTTGTTCCCTCTACAAAGAAAAATAGCAATACCAATAAGGGAAGCAGACTGCTTGGAATCTGATTCTTATATCTTTTCTAAAAACAAGGTATGGTCCTACTGCTGCCCAACAAGTGTATTCCTAAAACTCCTATCTTGAATGAGAGGTACCAGATCCTGACGAAAGCACTCTGGGGGGCCCATGACCTTATCACCAAATCCAACCAAATGTGACACTTCCAAACAGCTCCCTTCCTGGAAACACTCTCTTGCCTCCATGACCTTATCATCCCCTTCTCAGCCTGGCTTTGATCCTGCTTTGCCAGCTTTTTCTTTCCTGATTTCCTTTTGATTCTGGAGGAAGGGGTCATAGCCCAAATCCTCAGCCTGCTTCTCTTCTCTCCAAATAATCCTACCAGATAAATCCACTTGTCTAGACTTCATATGCACCAGCAGTTCTCAATTGAGCATGATTTTGCATGTGGTTGTTAAAATAGGATGGGAGTGGGGGTGCTTACTGGCATCTCACAGAGACCAGGAAAGCAGCCAAACATCTGCATGCCATGGAACAGTTTCCACAAGAAAGAACTTCCTGTCCCTAGACTTCCACAGTGCCATTGATTAAATCTACACAGATAACTTGAATTCATTCATCACTTCATCTGATGATATATTACTATTAAAGACTCACCATATTCAAGGCACTGGAGGGCAGGCACAGGGGGACTGCAGATGAAGGTATCAACCTCAGACACACCGTGCCTCGAAACAGAAAGTACCTATATGGAGATCTGCTGTGCCTCACCCTAAAGACGCCAATGTTCCAGACACCTCCATCATATCTCCACATTCAGACATCCAAAACCAAACACTTTATCATCTTCTCTTTAACCTACTCTCCCCAAACCCAACCTGTTCCTCTTCTTGTGTTCTCTCTCTCTCTCTTTTTTTTGTGCTGGGGATTGAACCCAGGGCCTTGCGCTTGCGAGACAAACACTCTACCAACTGAGCTATATCCCCAGCCTCCTCTTTTTAAAAAATATATATTTATTTATTTATTTTTTTAATTATAGGTGGATATAATATCTTTATTTTTATGTGGTGGTAAGGATCGAACCCAGTGACTCACACATGCTAGGCAAGTGCTCTACCTCTGAGACACAACCCCAGCCCTCTTCTTGTATTCTCTGTGATTTTTATCACACTCTCCAAAATATCAAGGCCAGAAATATTGCTAAATTCAAATTTCTTCCTCTTGCCTAACACTAAATCAGAAACCATGTCCTAGCTAGGTGCTGCCCTGTACTCCCACCTGTAATCCCAGCTACTCAGGAAGCTGAGGCTGCAGGATCCCAAATTCAAGATCAGCCTTAGCAAATTAGCAAGACGCTGTCTCAAAATAAAAAATAAAATGGGTCAGGAGTATAGCTCAGTGGTAGAGCACCCCTGGATCCAATCCTCAGTACTGCTGGAGCAGAGGTAAGTTTGTATGAATTCACCCCAATTATATTTTTCAGATTCGCAGGGATTTTCCTCCTCCTACTTATATTTCTCAAGGCCCAAGTTCAACATATACTTTGGAGTCTAGTGCTTTGTAATAAAGACAAATTTTACAGGGTTGGGTTTTTTTTCTCCCTTAAAAAAAACTCACACTGGCTGGGCACAGTGGCATACAACTGTAATCCCAGCAACTTCAGTGGCTGAGGCAAGAGGATCCCAAATTCAAGGCCAGCTCAGCAATTCAGGGAGGACTTGGACAACTTAATGAGACCCTGTTGCAAAATAAAAATCAAAAAGGGCTGGGGATGTTAAGGGCTCCTTGGTTCAATCCCTGGTACCCAAACCTCTGCCCCCCAAAAAACAACACATGCTGGGCTAGAGGCTTGGCTTGATGTTAGAGTACTTGGCTAGCAAGCATGAAGCCGTGGGTTACATCTCCAGCACTGCAAAAATAAAATAAGACAAAAAACCCAAAAAGATAATTTGGAATCTTGGCTCTATTTACTGAGTAATTTTGAACAATCTCCTTATTTCTTTGAGTTTCAGTTTCTGTCTCTGTAAAAACAGACACAATACCTAAATAACAGGTTTGTTATAAAGATAATGAAACTTGGAGTATCACAGGTGTTCACGCTATGGTTGCTATTAAATACCATAATTATGTCTAATCTGCATATGCCTCGGATGCTTGGTACCTACATAGTAAATTAGGAGTAGTCTGAAAATTTAAACTATAAGCACAATATTGGAATTTTCTGGGTTGCCAGGTGCGGTGGTGCATGGCTATAACCCCAGCAACTTGGGACACTGAGGCAGGACTGCAAGTTTGAGCCAGCCTCAGCAACTTAGCAAGGCCCTAAGTAACTTAAAGGAGACCCTGTTTCAAAATGAAAAATAAAAACGGCTGGGGAGGAATGTGGCTCAGTAGTTATGTGCCCCTGGGTTCAATCCCCAGAACAATAACAACAACAAAAGATTGTTAAATTCCCTGACTCTCTCTAGGAATAACATAATTTTTTAGATCTTCAATCCACTCCTTTGGAAGTTAACATCCAAAAAGAGGAGGAGAATTTCATGACAAGAAGCTCTTTATTGTTATTTTACATAAGTAAAGCCCAAGACCAAGTGAGTAGCCTGCAAGCCAGAAAGTAAGCTCATCTCAATTCACCAAAATACCCCAAACAGGTTTTGCAGCTGCTTAAGCACTGAAGCAGGAACCCACAATACAGTGCTTATCACACAAAGCACTCACCTGTTCCACGTAATGAAAGTCGCTCTCTGTGTGGATATACCAAGACCAACAATCTGGTTCGTCTGTGCTCCTGCAGCTGCAGGTGAAGACCAGTGAAACACATGTTTAAAAGCCAGTGATGTTTACTTGACCATATTACTGCATGGAAAATAAATTATTCAATATAATCTTTAAGGAAAACTCTTGGGTTTAGCACTTTGTGGGGGAGGGAGTTCTAGGATTACAGGCATGTGTGTGGCCATGCCCAACTGGGCTTAGCATTTTAACGAAACAATTAGAACTAATAAATAAAGCACTACCTGGATGATTTTGTAGTTTTTTTTTTTTTAATTTAAAAGGAAAAAGACATAGCCTAACAAAATAGCTTTAAACGTTAGAAAAAGAAAAATGTATTCAAAGTAACTCAGGTAGTATGTTCTTCTTCCTGATAACACTAAAAAATTGAAATTTAACCTAGGTGGTGATCAATCACAACATAAGATGATTGATGGAGATAAAGGTAAATAATTATTAAAGCTGAGAATATGTTTTCAATACAAATAGAAATTAAGGATGTAAATAAAAACATGTTTTTAAAATCCAAATTTCCTAAAATATAGTAATACCAAGTGATTTTTATAATTTTTTTTGAACCAGGGATTGAACCCAGAGGAGCTTTTACCACTGAGCCACACCCCAACCCTTTTTGTTTTTTTATTTTGAGACAGGGTCTCACTAAGTTGCTTAGGGCTCCATTAAATTGCCAAGGCTGGCCTCAAACTTGCGATCCTTCAGTCTCAGCCTCTAGAGTCACTAGGATACAAGTATGCACCTGTAACTTTCTTTTAAAACATCAGTTTACCCCACTGGGAAAATTTTGGCCAACTTCAATTTGAGCTCTGAGGAAAATTATCACACCATACATAGTATTCCTTACAAAAATATTCAACCTGAATCTCATGATGAGAAAATAATAAGACAACCCCCAAATGAGGGGCAGCTTGCTAAACTGGCCTGTGCTTGCTTGCTTTCTTTTTTGAATACTGAGGATTGAACTCAGGGGCACTCGACCAGAGTCACATCCTCACATCCTCAGCCCTATTTTGTATTTTATCTAGAGACAGGGTCTCACTGAGTTGCTTTGTGCCTCACTTTTGTTGAGGCTGGCTTTGAACTCAAGATCCTCCTTCCTCAGCCTCCCAAGCTGCTAGGATTACAGGAGCGCACCATTGTGCCAGGCTTCGCCTGTGCTTTTGAAACTGTCGATGTCATAAAGAACCTGCTATAGATTAAAGTAGACTAAACAGACTAACAGCTATTTGCAAAGCCTCATCTTTGCAATCTAGACAAAGAAAAAGTTATTATTATTTTTTTACTGAGATAAGAGAATACTGAAGACTAAATACTAGAGGACACTATGAATGCTAAATATTGTTAAATACTGTAGTAAGGTATTTACTAATTTCCTAAGTGTGATAACTGCACTGTGCATACACATGAGGACATGGCTTTTCTTTGGAGATGATGCTACAGTGTTTAGATGTGACAGATTACACCACAAATAACCCTCAAATATTTCAGGAAAAAATATTTGTGGAGAATTGTTTAAATCTGGGAGAAGGGTATACCAATGTTTGTTCTATTATTGTTGAAACGTTTTTTGTTTGTTTGTTTCTTTACTGTGCTGGGGAAGAAACTCAGGGCCTCATGCATGCTCTACCATGCTCTACTACTATGAGCTAGCTTCCCATTCCTTATTCTTGCAACTTTTTAATAAGTTTTGAAATACTACAAATTAAAATAAGGGGGAGAAGCAATTCAGGCTTGAAAAATGACATAAAATACTTTCTATAATCTATAAGTCATCTTCTGCAATGTTACTGAACACAGTTGCACTGAAAACATTTTTCTTTATTTTTTTCTTTTTGTGCTGGAGATTGAACCCAGGGCCTTGTGCATGGGAGGCAAGCACTCTACCAACTGAGCTATATCCCTAGCCCTAATAACACTCTTAAAGAGCTAAGATTTTTAGTCCATGGCTGTGGTTAGAAGACCACATCAACTGACCACAGAAGGAAAACTTACTTTACAATGAAGTAAGTTTTGAACAGTTGCGAACTCAGTACATGGTAACTGTTTATAACCCAATAGTATTCTATAAGCATCAGGAAATCAAGTCAGTCCTAGGTACAAGCAGGATGAAAGAAGATAAACATTCATTTAAATTACAGCTGAACAGACAAATGGGGGGACATGGTTGCTGTTACTTTTCCTTATTGAAGTGGTTTGCTGTGAACCACAAATCACCCCCCAAAAATATAGGGAAACTGTGACCCCTAATAAAATACTACATGTATATTATAACAACAAATTCTACAGAATCCTCAGAAAACTCTTAATAAAATCCCTGAGGAAAACTCTTATTACAATCAAAATATACCATAGAGGCCATTGTTATTTTTATTAATCCTATTACCTTTGATAGCATCTTTTATTACAGCAACAAATTGAGTCCAGAGAATGTCAGGATCAATTTCAACCCAGCCAACTCGAGGATAAAGGTTTTTTACCTATTTAAGAAAAGAGAAAATTTAATTAAAAATAATGAGATTGAGTCGACAGTAACTGGGCGTTGGAACTACTGGTTAAAATAATTAACATTATTTATCTAGTTAATTTTTATTGTTAAAACTGAGGGGCTGGGGGTGAAAACCAGGGGTAGAGTGTAGACTTAGCATGTGTAAGGCCCTAGATTTGATCCCAAGCACCTCCCCCAAAAAAGCAGAAAAAAAAATACATGTAGGAAATTAAAAAGACTATATGGTAACACCAAAATAGCAGTAGTTCATGAGTTTATAGAGATTTCATCTTCTTTTATCTTACTTTTATTTTTCAAGTTTTCTACAATGAAGGTATTTTATAATAAGACAAAAGTCAGACTTCTAAAAGGTTAAAAAACAAATTTAAAAAGAACTGAGTTCCAGTTCAGATTATAATGAGTAAAAGTGTACTCCATCCTGTTTCTTCTACTATGTACAAATATAACCCTAGAGAATACACAGGCAGCTTCTTGGACTCTTAAATAGTATTTAGTAGCAGGTGCACTGGGGAACTAGACAAGAACTTGTGTACCAATAGCACAAAGGAGGACTGAGTTTGGTCCCCAGAACCTCACCCCCACCCCCGACATACACATACACTTCTTTTTAGTACTATTAGACTGGAAGGGAACTTCCCATTTTTCTGACTTCCCCTGAACTAGTACTCTAAAAACTAAATTGGGTTCCAGGCAAAGCTCTGTTGTTTGAACTCATAGAACCAGAAGGGGAACCCCCAACACTCAGAGGGAACATAGTGATCCCCCTCTGCCTTTTTCTCTTTTTCCTCCAAGACTCCCTACTTTCACACCCAGGCTGGCCTGAAGTGTGGCTGCAGCAGTAATAGTGGTTATCAGTAGGATTCAACAAGCATCTACACACTGAGGAAGGGAAAACTTCCTTCCTAATCAGAGAAGGCAGTCCTGAGACCAGGAGGTAAACCCCTGTGGCTTTCTTTATCTCTCTGGGCCCCTGTTGCCTCAGATGCATCCAGAAAAATGAGGTAACAAAAGATCCAAATTTCAGGCTAAAGACCAAAAGTGAGGCTCAGGGAATTATAAAAAAAAAAAAATAGTAGTTGCACAAACACCTGTAATCCCAGCTACTCTGGAGGCTGAGGCAGGAGAATCCCAAGTTTAAGATCAGCCTGAGCAATTTAGAGAGACCCTATCTCAAAATAAAAAATTTAAATATGTGGTGATGTAGCCCAGTGGTAGTGTTCTTGCCTAGCATGCTTGAGACCCTGGGTTCAATACCCAGGACCAAAAAAAAAAAAAAAAAAAAAAAAAAAAAATATATATATATATATATATATATATATATATATATACGGAAATCTCAGAGAGAGATGAGCTTGGGAAAAACATCATAGAAAGTTGTAAACAAACTCCTAGGCTCACATGGAAGCTGTACTTGCATGTTGCATGGATGTAGTTCTGAACAGTATACCAAAGACATTAAGAACAAAACTAAGGGCCAGACAACTGCCTGAGTCACTAGGCTGTGCATATATCCAAGGCAAATCTGAAAAGTACTACCAAGATTTAGGAAACACAAGTACTGCTGAATGCATAATGCATAGAAGGCTGATCAGAACTAAGTCTGAACCCAATAACTGCCTGATGAAAGAAACATTAGCATTTTTCGTAAGATTTACATAAGACCCAGTCTTTTAACATAATATTTAAAAATTAGGGCTGGGCACAAGCCCAATCCCCAGCACCACCAAAAATAAATAAATACTTATATGATAAAAATTAAAAACTCACAGAATGGGCTCAATAGCAGAATGGAGATAACAAAAGAAAGTCAATACTTGAAGATAGATCAATAGTAAATATGTGGGCTGGCATTGTGGCTCAGTGGTAGCGAGCTCTTCTAGCAAGCGTGAGGTGCTGGGTTCAATCCTCAGCACCACATAAAAACAAATAAAGGTATTGTGTCCAACTTCAACTAAAAAAGAAATATAAAAAAATAGTAAATATGTAATGTAAACATGAGAAAGAAGAACGATTAGAGAAAAATAAAACCACAGGATATGTGGGACAATTGCAGAAGGTTTAATTATTATTGTATAACCATGGTCTCTGAAGAAGAAAAGGATTCATCGTAGAGAGAAAAGTGACTTCAGGGAAATAACAGTGCTGAAAGTGCCTGGAGTTCACAAAAGCCTTAGAAATCTCTACCAAAGTCTAAGGCACTATACCTTCAGATACATCATAATTAAAATGCACAAAACTAAAAACAAGGAAAAAAGTTTGAAAGCAGATGCATTACATGCTCAAAACTACATTTTTAATGTACTAAGTGAAAAAGAATCTTAGAATTCTATATCAAAACCCCAGTAGAATGGAGATGTATATATGTGCAAGATGATTTTAAAATTTATATGTAAAGGCAAAAGAACTAAAATTGTCAAAACAATGTTGAAAAAGAATAAACTTAGGGGCTGGGGTTATGGCTCAGGGGTAGAACATTCGCCTAGCATGTGTGAGACACTGGGTTCGATCCTCAACATGACATAAAAATAAAATAAAGGTACTGTGTCCACCTACAACTAAAAGATAAATGTAAAAATAATATTAAAGAATAAACTTAGAGAGATCATGCTATTCAATTGCAAGACTTCCTATAAAGCTACAATGATCAAAACTGTGCTACTGGCATAGAATGGACAAATAGATCAAAAGAAGAGAACAGAGTCCAGAAATAGAACCACACAAATATGGCCAACTGGAATTTTACAAAAGAGTGAAGACAATTTAATGGAGAAAATGATGTTCAACAAGTGATATTGAACAACTGGACATTCATATGCAAAAAAATCAACTTCAACCTGAAGTTAACTCAAAATGGATCAAGATCTAAATGTAAAACCTAAAATTATAAAATGTTTAGAAGAGAACATAGGAGAAACTCCTTATGCTTTGAGCTAAGCAAAGAATTCTTAGGACACCAGTCGGACAATTCATAAAGCAAACAAAAAAAGGACAAAATGGACTTTAATCAAAGTTCAAAATATTTACTCTGAGAAAGACACTTAAGAAAATAAAAAGACAACTTAAAAAAAGAAAATGAAATGACAAAGTATAGCCTAGTAGAAAATATCGGCAAGTCACACATCCAACACCAGGACTCACATCCAGAACACATAAAGAGGGCCACAGTTGTGGCTCAGTGGTAGAGCGCTTGCCTAGCATATGAGTTTGATCCCTGGCACCACATAAAAATAAACAAATAAAATAAAGGCATTGTGTCCATCAACAACTAAAATACACACACACTCACACACACACATATGAAAGAAATCTCAAAACTCCACAGTAAGCAGGGCTGGGGTTGTGGCTCAGCGGTAGAACACTCACCTAGTACATGTGAGGCCCTGGGTTCGATCCTCAGCACCACATGAAAATAAATAAACAAAATAAAGATATTGTGTCCAACTGAAAAATTAAAAAAAAAAACAAAAAACTACACAGTAAGCAAACAACCCCCTTAAAAAATGGTTCTTAAAAGACTTGATCACGCACTCTACAGAAAATATATGGATATCAAATATATACATGAAGACATTCAACATCAATAGCTATTAAGGAAATGAGAAATTAAAACCACAGTGAGTTACCACTCCTTATGGGTAACTGTAGGGGGGAAAAATAACAATAATAAGTACTAATGGGGTCTGCGGCTGTAGCTCAGTGGTGGAGCGCTTGCCTAGCATGTGTGAGGCACTGGGTTTGATCTTTAGCACCACATAAAAATAAATAAATAAGGTCTTGTGTCCATCTACAACTAAAAATATTTTTTTAAAAAAGGTGAAGTACTAATGGATATGAGAAATATTTGTCTCTTTTACATTCCTGAAGAGAATGCAAAATGGTACAGCCACTCTGGAAAAACCTGGCAATTTCTTATATAAGATAAACTTTTACTTGCCAGATGACTCACCAATCCCACTCCTGAGTATGTGCTCAGAAGAAATGAAAATTTATGTTCCCATCAAAATCTGTGCATAAATGTTTACAGCAACTCTAGTCATAACCACCAGAAACTGCAAACAATCCAAAATGTACTTCAACAGGTGCATGAATGTGGAACATCCATATAATGAAACCTCTCAAAAATAATAAAACAAGCCGGGCATGGTGGCAGACACCTGTAATCCCAGCAGTCGGGACACTGAGGCAGAATGATTTTGAGTTCAAAGCCAGCCTCAGCAAAAGCGAGGTGCTAAGCAACTCAGTGAGACCCTGTCTCTAAATAAAATACAAAACAGGGCTGGGGATGTGGCTCAGTGGCCTAGTGCCCCTGAGTTCAATCCCCAGTACCTCCCAAAAATAAAAGAAATAAAAAATAAAATGAACCAACTATCAATACTCACAACGTAGACAAATCTTAAAGGCATTATACTGAATAAAGCCAGCCATAAAAGGCTACCTACTGTATGATTCCACTCACAATGACAATCTGAAAAAGACAGAACAACAAACTATTCACAGCACACCTGTGATCCCAGCAACTGGGGGGAGGGATCAAGTTCAAGGCCAGACCAGGGAATTTAGCAAGAGCCTGTCTTGTCTCAAAAATAAAATAAAAGGGTTAAGAAGTAGATCAATAGGCAAGCACCCCTGGATTCAATCCCGAGTACCACATACACACACAAAAAAACAACACTACATCATAGAAAATAGATCAGTGGTTACCAAGGGTACAGTTTGGAAGGAAGATATGACCTCAAAGAGGCAGCAGAAAGGTGTTTAGAGGGTTACTCCTATATATGTGCTAAAATCCATAGAAACTACATACTAAAAAAAAGTCTATTTTACTTTGTTAATTAAAAAAAAAAACTGTAAAAGTCTATGGGTTTCGGGCTGGGGAGATAGCTCAGTTAATACAGTGCTTGCCTTGCATATACAAGGCCCTGGGTTCAATCCCCAGCACCACAAAATAAAAAAAAATTTTTTTTAAAATCT